ATTGTAAGTTCTCATTTAGAGATGGGCCACCTTACTCTTGCTACCAGAATGCCATGCCACAGTGCTGTCACTTTTCCACAAGATGCCTTCATTTTCCAGGAGCGTGAGCTTGGGAGACCTAAATAACCTATGTAATACATACACTAGCTAGCAAAAACCCATAATATGCTGGTCCTTCTAGCATTTGGCACTATGCACAGCTTTAGTAACTTGAATGTCTTCAGAACTCCACAGCCAAAAGGCAATCACAAAATGAAAAGTAGTGTCCTATAGAGACACTAGCTGGCCAAATGATCTTGAAATAAACTCACTTCTATGGGCCTGCTTTCCTTATCCACAGAAAGATGGAGTCTCCAAAGCCCTGTCCAATTCTACCATCCTATGAGTCCATGAATCAAACTATTAAATTTTAAATGCTGAGGGGAGAGGTGTGGTAGAGTACTTGCCTAGCATTCACAAGGCCCTGGGTTCCATCCCCAATGCACAAAAAAATTTTTAAGTGCACCTAGAATGTAGTCATTCAATATTATTGACCACATACCCTATATAAAGCTGGGTAGAGGGCACTGCAGGGGCAACACAAAAATAAAAGATAATCTCTGACCCTGAAAGAGCCTTCTCTAGCTGTGAGGGACAAGTGATAAGAGTAACCACCATAAAATTCAGAAATGTAAGAGATGCTACATGATTCTTTCTTACAATGAGTAGAATGTACAATTAAAAGAACTTGAAAGAGGAATAGATGGACTAGAAGAGGGACAATTACCAAGCAGTGCTACAAAGCTTTTCTTGGTTCATCTAATTCAATGACTCCTCTGACAATATATTACATCAAAAGCACCTAAAGATGGGTATAGTGGCACTTGCCTGTAATCTCAGCACCCTAAGAGGCTGACGCAGAAAGACTGCAAGTTCAAGTCTAACCTCGGCAACTTAATGAGACCCTGTCTCAAAATAAAACATGAAAAAAAAGGATGGGGGATGTAGCTCAGTGTGAAGGCCTAGGTTCAATCTCTGGAACTGCCAAAAAGAAAAAAAAAAGCACCTATGGGGTCAAGTCTGATAGAAACTGGTGTGACAGTACTTTCATACAATTTCTTCCATATACAGTACAGTAAAAGCATAAACACTGATCATTAGCAACTAACTGCTTCTATTTCAGCAGTCAAGTCATGCCATTCTTGCCAGAAGAAAAGCCTTCTAGGAAGCCAAATCCAGAAGACAGTGCACTTAGTCCTTTCCCTGAGCACTAAGCTTTATTAGGAGGTTTTCTGACCAAATATCACAATAGTCTTTCAGTAGCTGGACACCTCAAAGGTTGTACCATTCTACTATAGTGCCCTAACACTCTAGCCTAAACTACGATGGCTACGTGTTCACCACACAAACTGGATAGGATTGAAGCAGAAAAAATTGAAAATGGTCCCTGTGCTCAAAGCTGAAACCAGCATACACAATCACATTTCCTAAATACCTTACCCTCAGAATTAATTAGAAAATCCTTTTTCTTTAAGCATTATACAATTTTCACTCTGCTTCTGAATTTAAACACATCTCCCACGAATACAATTACATCTAAATACACTACCTACTGGTAATCTATACTCACCATTTGTGAGTATTTGAATGGTCCAGACAGATAGAATTATACAGAATTTCAGATTCTTAGAGTTGCAAATGGTTTAGTGATTATGTAGCTCTGTGACAGCAGCCCTGAGGGATGGCCACCCAGCTTTTGCCAGAAACACTTCTAACAATTCAGAGCTCACTAGCTCCTGAGTTATGTTTTGTGTTTAGCTCCTTTATGTTTTGTGTTCAACCTACTGTCTATTCACTAAAAATTATAGACCTCTCCTTTGAGAAATCAAGACTCACAAAGGCAAAATCTAAAAATACAAGGCTTTTCATTGGCACTACCAACATTACATGTGTTTCATTAAGCATACCCACATGCCTGCCCAGACTTCTCAAGCCATCTGGCTGACCCAGAGCTGTGCCACAGGCATACGTAAATCAACTCACACTGGTTCCTAAACACCTGCTTCAAGCAGGACTCTGTCACTAAAACACAGATCCAGACGTGTCTCAAGATTTGGACTACCTAAGCCAGGCATGGTGGCATATGTCTGTAATCCCAGCACTCATAAGGCTGAGGCAAGACAACTGCTGCAAGTTCAAGGCCAGCTTGGGCTACATAGTGAGTTTAAGGCCAGCCTGGACAACACAGTAAGATCCTGTCTCACAAAACTGAAAAACAAGAACCAGACGTGGTAGTGCACGCCTGTAACCCCAGCACTCTGGGGGCTGAGGCAGGAGGATCGCTATGAATTCAAGGCTAGCCTGGGCTATATAAGTGAGTTCAACATCAGCCTGAACTGCATAGTGAGACCCTGTCTCAAAAAGAAAAAAAAGAGTTGCACTATCTTCCCACAAGGCAAAAATGCAGCAGCCGAAAGATTTGGAGTCTATATTCTTGGACAATTTTACTCTACCTGCTTGAAGGCAGGAGGCTAGATCAGCTAATTTACTGATGTCTCATTAGGTTCTAATACTAACAGTGGAGCCCATGTTCTGCCCCTCAAGCCCTACCCTCCACTATCAAGCCCTACCCTCCACTGTCTGGCTGACAGTAAATTATAGACTCCAAAGAAAAAGGCCAACCAGAAAGATTTAATTCCTCAGAGTCATGCTGCTATGCCTTATACAGCCTGTTACTGGCTAGGCATAAGGCAGCTACCAGCTATCCATGTGTCTGTGTCTGTATAGGACAGAGAAGGGGAGAAGGGAGGGAGGGCAAGAGGGAGAGAAGGGGAGAGAGGGAGAAAAGCAGAGAAAAAAGTGTTTATCACCAAATCCTTTTTGGTCAGATTTATACTTCCCCATTCCACTCCTCAACTAATCTATTTACTTCCTTCTCTTCTTCCTCTCCCAGCCCTACCTTCAAAATATTTACTTGTTCACACAAACAGCTGTACCTAAAGGTAGTTTCGCAAACAACCTCACCTTTGGTAGCTACAGGCAAAACATAAGAAATAAGTGGGAGCAGGGAGTCATCTCAGAAAAAAACTCAACCTGGGGTGTTCCGTGGCACAGTGCCTGCCTGGCAAGTGCAAGGTCCTGAGTTCAATTCCTGGTACAACAAAAAAAAAACCCAACCTGACTCTATCAAATAGTAGCTTGACTAATTGTTTCATCCCATGGGAAGTTTTCTTCAGAGGCCTTCAGGGGCCTAAGTGGAACAGACCCAAGTCACAGTCTCTTACTGACTCCCAGATACAAAAAGGGCCAAATAGCAATAACTTCAAATTCCCAATTCCAAGTTGCCCCGGCCAGTCAAACCAGAGGTTTCCTGGGTCCAAAGCTACCAACTCACTGACAGCCTGGAAACAGATGTCATCTCTGTCATGAATGATTCCAATCATAAAAATTTAACAACAGAGGTAGGGGAAATAAAAAAAGTGAAAGACAGCATAGCAGTAGAGGGCTGGGGATGTGGCTCAGTGGTCGAGCTCTTGCCTTGCATGCACAAAATCCTGGTTTTAATCCCCAGCACCACACAAAAAGAGAGAATGACAGTAGAGCTCAGTTTTGCCCTTCCAACAAGAAGGCAGGAATAAAATAAAGCAAACTTGGGCAGAAGGGTGAGGAAAAGGGAAAGAAACTGTATTGTGTTACACATATGCCTGCCTGACCACACATGCTCAGATATACCACACACAATTACATGGTGCATACACACGAGTACACATACACTCAGTCATGAAATTCATCTGGAAAAGCAGCTAAGAAGCCTTCAGCAACCTGCTCAACTTCACCAAATACTTTACAAAGTCAGCAATAATAGCAGCAGCAATAGCAAAAAGACCTTTAACAAAGAACTCCTCTGACCTTACTTAGCCAGTCCTGTTACAAAGTGCACACCCCTCTTTCCCCTGCTGTTACTCAAGCCAGCTGCAACCATCAAAAAGTCTGGCAAAGCAGCCTGAAAATCACTCTGGATGCACTGGGAAAGCCTAGAGCCCTTACAATACAAAAAAATGAGCCCCAAGGGACTGGAGTCCATTTTAATTACCCATAAAGCGAGGCCAAAGAGCCCCCTCCTGCCTCCTCTGGCCATGCCCCAGCATGAAAGCTCCATTTCCAGGTCACCAGTGTGAACCAAGGCAGGATCACATCAGGCGTGGCTCTCAGTCTACACATATACCTCTTACAGTAAGGCCTCCTATAGTAATCCCAAAACAATTAGCACTGTTCCCATCCCTAGAGTGTAGAGCGCTCTCAGCACACCCAGTAGTCATGCCACAGTGCCCTAGAATCCAACTGGCCACCTCCCTAGAGCAATGACCTACACAGAGTTCCAATAGTGGCTCCAGTACTAGATATTACATCACAGAAAAAATAACTTCAAGGTTCACATTAGGCATACATAAAATGGAAAGTTGTTTACACTGAACGACTTTGAGGGAAAGAAAGAGCAACTCACTATTAAAAGGCACCTATGTGCTGTGCCCCAGCTCATGTGTTGTACAGCTGAGGGTAGAAAGAATCTTCATGTTCCCAATTCACTTGGCTTTTCAACTTAACAGCCAGCAGGGAGCTTGAGCTTAAGAATACAGGACCCGGAATAACAGACTGAGTATTGTTGAGAGGTACCCCTAGACTTGGGAGGGGTACAGAGGAGTCAGTTTGTCACTAAGCTCCTGTCATTGGAAAGGGGAGGTGAGTAATTAAAACAAACTCCCTTGTTTCCCAAGTTTGTTGGAGGTAATCCTAAATCACTGTTACAAAATTGGTATCAAAATCTTGGTCTTCATAGGAAGCACATACTCTGCTGTAACCATGAAACAATGAACTCAGTTGATATTATCTATAGACATTGTTCAAGAGGACAGTAAAAGTCATCCAAAGACTGGCCACAAATTCCCCAAGAAAGAAGGTTCTTTTCCCTGATCCAAAGTAACCCATAATCAGACAACTCTATTCGTAATCAGAAAACTTACTCAAAGGCAAAGAAGAGTGTACATGTCCCCAAGATGAGGAAGAGAGTCAAATAGAAGATGCCCTTTTGCCGGGCCATCATGACGCGGCCATCGCAGCAGAAGGTGTTCCTGCCTGGGAGTTTTTCCCATTTCCGTGTTACCTTCTTCCTCACCACCATCACAGACATGATTGGAATTCCTGGTCCAAAATGGGCTTTGTGATTACAAGAAAGAAGAAACAGAGGCTGAGCCCAGCTTCAAAATCACGTTGCCTGCTATTGCCGCTGCTGGGTCAAACATCATCAAAAGTCCAATTTCTAGTCCTAAGAGAAAGCACAAAAAGGAAAAAAAATGAGACAAGATGCAGTTCAAACCTCCTTTGCCAGAGCCAGAAAGATGAACACTGCTTGAAGGAGTGGAGACGGGGCAGTGGGAGTTTATTTCCAGTCTGTTTGTCTTCTAAAAGAAGAAATAAATTTTGTGCTTCCAAACTAATACTGATGATTTGATCATCATGGAACCTTGAACCTAGAAGGGATTTTAGAGTGACTATTCTAATTATTTTATTTGTCAATGAGTAAACTGAGGAGCAGAGAGAGAAAATAACTTCTCCAGGGTCACCGAGAAGCAAAGCTGACACAAGAAAACACGCCAGCTGACTTTCAGTCCGGGGCACCTTCCCCTATACCACAACATTCTCTAATCTTCATTAAGAGGGCTCTAAAAATAATAGTGGAGTTTCTGTCGTTAAGGAGCTGTTCCCTTCCCTCCGCTGCTTCTTCACCTTCAATCAGCCACTCGAACACGAATCATACCAAGAAACAAGTCACCCTCTGGGGTTAGGAGGTCTGGGCATGATATATGTACCGGCATCGTACTTACACACATTTTCCCCAATCAAACCGTCTCTAACTTCCTGAGTCTAGGAAATGAAACAACCTTAGCTGGTCTAGCCCAACATTTGTGGGAATCTTAGTGAAACCACATTGGGTACCTGGAGGTGAAAGGCTCGCTTAAGCAGGAGACATTCTGGAAGGGTTGGTGAGAGATAATGGTGGGGGGGAGCAGCAGCTAAGTCACAAGGGTGCTTTCTGGGACATTTTATAAGCACCACCTCGACTGGGCATCCTGAATTCCCAGGCCTATGCTTGCTCAGCCACTGCTGTCTTTCTCCTCCCAGGTGTGGGGCTGTGGCCTCTATTTACCGACAGCACATGCCCCAGGCGGAAGCTAGCAGCCTGATTGACTGCGAGAAAAACACCCAAGTGCAGATCATTCCCTTGCGGGAAAGAGCAAAGGTCCAACGGGGGACTTTGAGCAGAGCCCAGAAACGAGAAGGTATAAGGCTTGGGGAAGGGGAGGGAGCACCAGAGGTGCAGAGAACACTTCCTTTGTGTAAAACTAACCTGGAAAACAACCTCCTCCTCAAACCAGCCCAGCGGGAGAAGAGAGACCAGGAAGGGGAACCCGGCCTGGGAAAACAAAGATCACAATCTGTCCAGCGGCGGCGACCGGTCCGCCGGCCAGATGCCCGAGGCCTGAGTCCCGCGCCGGGCCGCGGCTGCGGCCTCGGGAGACCGCCCTGCCTCCGCCACGCCGCGGACCACCGCCCCAGGCAGGTCGGGACGCGCGCCACATCCACACGCACACGCACCCACACGCTCGTACACGCTCACACACGCCCCGCCACGTGTAGTCACCCCGGGCCTTGGGGCTCAGCAGCTGGCGAGTTGAGAAGGGCGGTGCCAACGTCCCCGAGTCCCCGCGCGGCTGAGGGGAGGCAGCCCACCACGCAGCCGAGCCCGAGACCCCCGCCCCCACCCCTTGTTACCTGAATTAGGGAGACCGAACTCGGCCCGCTACGGAAGGCAGGAAATCGACGGTCCCAGGAGACAACGTCGGCCGCCAAAGGAGGCAGCGACTTCTCCCAGCTGGGAGGCTGCCTCCTCCTGACAAGGGGCCCCAACACTCCGGGCCCTAAACCAGCTGTGGCAAACGCCCACCGCTGGCCGAATGGAACGCTCCTCACGTCACCAGGTCGCTCCAGTAGTTGCTCGCCCTCTATTGGCTAAGCAGCCCCAGTGCCTCCACCCTTACCGCCCCTACCCCGAACTGTCATTGGCTACTCCAAACGCCAGTCGACGATGCCTCCGCCCTCTCCCCCACCCATCTCCTTGCTACTTGCCCACCTGCCAAGCCGCTGCCTTCCTCTCTTTGGGTCTGAGCGCTAGTATGTAAAGTGTTGCCTTTTATTAATATAGCTAGGCAAAGAAGGGGCGAAAAGCAATGCCTGTGGAATAGGGAGGGATGGGAACCAGCCTCCCCCCACATACTGTACACACATGGTGAGATGCTGAAGCAGCACTAGTTCACAGATCCGGATGCTTACCCAGAACTAGGTCCGCCCCGGGCCTCTCCAATCCTAGTTATATTAAAATCAACCATACCTCAGGCTTTTACTCTTTATCGGCATAAGGACAAGTCCGCTGCCTCCGAAGTCCCATTCAGTAATAACAGACCCCAACTCTGTCCCAGTCACCCTAGCCTGCATCTCTAAGACTTTAAGTATAAAACAAACATAATAAAGGAAATTGAAAAGGATAATTGTCCCCAAGAACACAGTCTCATGTTGCAGCATCAAAAACAAGACATCGACATTAAGGGAGTCAGAGAAACTCCATAAATTCTTCCAGATAGACAGCGAAATAAAGATTGCCAAAAATGTTCTACTAGATTTGAAAAGCTTACAGCAATTAAAGGGAGATCCTCGGCAGAATTTCTGTCCAACAACTAGACTGATTTTTTCCTTCTGCCACCCTTCTCTGGAGTTACTGCCACCATGAGCCGCTGCTACCAACTCTAGTGAGGCACATCGTTTTGGAGTCTGCAGTTGGAGTCCAGAAAACAGTCAAGAACCACAGTGCCATATCACAGGGTGAAGGCGCTAAGTCTGCTTCCACCAGAGTGGCTCTTGCCCTCCAAATGTAAAAGGAAATACAAGAAAAGACTGAAGATGGCCTCTCCTTACCTGTCACACTATTGGGAGAGAGTACCTACATTACCAGTCTAGGTTTTCCTGAGCTTGATAAAAGTTTGTTTAAGGTGAAGGTATTTGGGAATAGTACAGAAAAGACTGCCAAAGCTCTTTTTGAGGATATCTTTTGTTAGTTTTAATGAAGGACCACATACATGATCAAGAACTATTTCTCCTCTACAGTGTTTGGGTCCCACACAATATATAACCAAAAAACTGAAAAAAAAAAAACTGTATTTGACAGTGTCATGGCACCTTTCAAGCAAAACTCTGAAAGAATGTAAAGCTCAGGAGACAATTCTCTTACAAGAGAGATGTGTTAGAATTAATGTGTAGAGAAAAGCATGTCTTTATAAACCATCTGTTGTTACTGAGCACTCCTGGTGATTATAAACATTGGTGTATTCCTTATGAAGCATGTGATCAGTAATGTTGCCTTCAGATCCATCCCCCATTGAATTCTGGAGGGCACTGGTATTGCACACATTTGGTATGGAACACAGAGGAACTTCCCTTAGCCCCATCAGCTCTCTGGATTCCCAAGCTTGTGTATATCAGATGCCCTTAGAAATAGCATGATCAGCCCAGCTGCCATCCTTCTGACTGGGGAGCCATCAAAAATAAGCCTCCACAGTACCCAAACATACTTTGTCCATAGCTCAGGTGCAGGTGAAGCCTGGGAAGTCCCGCAATTGCTGCGTCACAGCAAAGCATTCCTGAGCCCTGCCCCTCCCTGCTCTGGGTGGGGCACATTCCCTCTAGGATTAAGTGGCTATGTAAATCAGTCTTATTTTACTACAATTTGTTATTAATTGTGTCACTACTTAAAGAAAATTAAAGAAATTTTATATAGACGAACATTCTGTAGCTCTTCCTTCGGTATAATTACATCATTTTATGTAGACCTTAAAGTCTTAATAGACGCACAGAACTGAATTGTGACTAGAAATTGAGATTTTTCTCTTTTCTTTGTTTCTTTTCAATTTTTTTTGACAGGGCCTCACTATGTAGAGCAGGCTGGCCTCCAACTCATGCCAATCCTCCTGCCTCAGCCTCCTGAGTGCTGGGGTTACAGGTGTGCACCACACCCAGCTCTTTTCTCTTTTCAACAAACTTCCCACTGTATGCCCCCAAATCAGTATGCATGTGTGTGTGTCTGAGTGTGTGTGTGCATGTGTGTGTTTTGTTTTGTTTGTTGTTCTGAGAATTGAACCCGGGGCCTTCACACTGAGCTACATTCTCAACTCTTTTTTTATTTTTTATTTTGACACAGGGTCTCACTAAGTCACTAAGTTGCTCAGGCTGGGCTGGAACTTGTGATCCTCCTGTCTCAGCCTCCCAGAGTGCTGAGATTATAGGCATGTACCACCATACCCAATAGTGTTGGCTTTTTTTGAAGGGTAGTTATAGTGATGTGATAAGCACTAGAAAGACCTCTAGAATCAAGGTATAGCCTTCCATTTTATAAGATAGCTCCTGGGGTAGTGGCATACATTCTGGTGTGCTTGTTTAAAAATTATCTCCATATTTATGGTGTGTGTGTGTGTGTGTGTGTTTGTGCGCGTTTAGGTATAAGGTGCTACTGAAGGGCCCTGCATCCTGAGTACCACCACTGGGTTGGAACTTACCTATTAGTATTGCTCCAGAGATCATGCAGCTCCACAGCCAACAACAGACAAAAAATCAGCTCCCACTCTGTATCTGAGCTTATCTCTTTATCACAACTCTTCCATGTACCCCGTTCCCCTTCCCACTCCACCTACCTGACTTTCACTCCTTTCCCTACTTTTCAGCTATAAGTATATATCTATAGAATGAATTGATGAGTAAAAGAACTTAAAACCACAGAATTCCAGACTCATACGTGGCCAGCTAGAATTCTTAAGCAACAACTGTTTCTCTGAGGCCAGGGTTGCTGTTGCTGACACAGGTAAGATGGTATGTAGCGCAGAAAGACCAAAAGTCCTATAACCAGGCAGACCGAGGTCTGAATCCTGGCTCTGCTACTTAATACCTCATGTAACCTTTAAGAAGAAATTTATTCTTTCTGTGCCTATTTTCTCATCTGTAAAATAGAGCTAATATAGACAGCCCACCGTATTGACGAACTATGGATTGAAAATATTCGAGGAAAAAATTACGCCTGTACTGGACATATATAGAATTTTTTCTTGCCATCATTCCCCAAACAATATAACTATCTACATAGCATTTACATTGTATTTGGAATTGTAAATCATCTAGAGATTATTTAAAGTATATGGAAAGATGTGCATAGGTAATATTCAAATGCTATGCCATTTTATATAAAGGACTTGAGCATTCCATGGCCTGCTGTATCCAAGGCGGTCCTGGATCCAATCTCCTGCAGATATTGAGGGACAATTATATCTACTTCATAGAGTTATAAGGGAGATTAGAGATAATATGGGCTAAATGTCTGCCAAGTAGGAGAGACACAATCAATGCCAAATGTTACAATAGCAACATCTCTCTCCTTCAGCCACACTGCTGACTGGGAATAGAGAGGTCAGAATGAGACCCATTCTTCACTTTGTGGCACCCACATCATGCATGTATAACTGTGTTTTCCATACCATCTAAATCCATCCCTGAATTTAATCCTTGTCTGACTGGCTGCTTGGTTTCCCCGTCCCCTCACCTCACCCCCTGACTGGGAAAATCTTGGGCAGTAACCTTGTTCTAAGTAAAAGTTCTTTTGCACTATCTTCTCCGGTGAACCTTCAACATTGCTGTCACATTATCTGTTTCAACATATGAGAGATAAATAGAACTGCTTTTATGAAGCACCTCCTGTGTTCACAGCACCACGTTAGGGTTGCTGGCGCCTCTGTGGACTAAGCAGCACATTTAAGACATCCTAGGTTGAAAGTCCAGCATATGAAAAGCCAATAAAGTGCCTAGAGTGGTAGGAAAAGTGTTCATCACAATACAACTGCCCCTCTGCTTCAGGTGTCAGAACGCAAGACCCCATTTCTGCCTCCAATGCCTGGTTGCTCCTACTGCTTCCCAATTTGATTGCATCTCTAGACTGTGGATTTCTGACTTTATCTCTAATGGTTTTAGGTGTTACCCTTGAACCTTCAACACTAGCCCTAAAACCACATCTCATTAAATAAAAATAGCACCAATAGATGACACCATTGCTTGAGGACCTCCTCTGAGTCAGGAACTGTGCTAGGTGCTTTTTATAGGTAGGGTTCCCAGGTTATAGTCTAAACTTGATGTCCAAGTGAGAGCATCTGATACTGACTTGGCACATCCGTAGTCTCTGACTCAGCCCAGCCCTCTCATTCCAGAAGCTGACCTCAAAACATCCTGTAGCCCAAAAATATAAACCAGTTTATCAGTCAATCATCAAGTATGTATTGAGCACCCACAGTTTGCTCCACCCATACTAAGCACTATGGGAAATACCAAAGAAGTATATGACTTGACCTTAGCCTCTCAGGAATTTTACACAGTCTAAGGGAGAAAAGAGTAGCACCTTTGCAGTCATTAAAGATAAATACAAAACTGTTTGGAGTCAAATTCTCAAGTGCACATGACAGAGTCTGCAACCTCTTAAGGAGAGCTAATATCAAAAGGTTATACCCTCTTAGGCTACAGATGCAATGCTTGCCTAGCATGCATGAGGCCCTAGGTTTGATCCCAACACTGCAAAGGAAAACAATAGTTTTAAATACTGTTGGTACCGTCTTAAATACTGTTGGTAGAGAAGTAAATTTGTTTTTAAAAATTTATTAGCAGGTCTATTTGGCTATAACCCTAAATATTTTTATTTCATAACCATTGACCCAACAATCATCTAGAAATATTAGCACAAATGTTCAAATGTATATGCTCAAAGATGGTCACTATTTCATTGTTTGCAATTCCAAAAATCAATAAGCAGTAAGTCCATTACCTATTGCACATCCATATTATGGAATGCTAAGTTTTGCACGCTTGAATTTGGTAATCAGAATGACTGATCTGAAAACAATT